TATACATACAAAAATTAGAACTATTTGTAGAACTTCAAAAGTTCAGGTACTAAAATATAATACACAAAAATTTTAGGTGCTAAAATATAATGTTAACCAATATTTTGATGACTTATATGCCAAAAAATAAATTTAGTTTATAAATCTAAAGATCTATTAAGTTTAGGTACCCAACTATAATTTGCATAGTTGAGACTTAATTCCTTTTATGATGATGTATTTAAGATGATAATTATTTATTTTTTTTATAGAAAATAGGAACCTATTTATTTGATATGTATAATTTTTAAAAATTCCATGTACAATTGTTCAAAATTCTAGCCCGGGTGAAAAAGAAAAACTCTAGAGAGAAGCAAAAGGAATACAAACTGGAACTCGCTTAAAATTTCTTGCCTTCAAATCCCATAGTGGAAAATGACGACTTTCTAATAAGTAATAATCATATATATTTGTTTTTAATTGGGCTCGACATTGAGCTAAAAAAGTGAGTGATTCATGGTTCAATTATTAATTATCTAGACTGTTGGTCAGTCGTGTATGGACCAGTTTATACTTGCGATTAGGATACATACAAATAGTATATTAATTAGGGTTAGACGAGAAAAGCAAAGAAAGAAATAAAGAAAAGGTTATGGAAAGTGAGTGAAAAATCAAACAAAAAAGAAGTAGATGATGGAAAGGTATTGATCAATTCTTTTAAACAACTTGAACAGAAAAATAAAACGACTCCTATTCTATCCAACCTGTATTTCAATTCGAGGGGAACTTAGTTTGCTAACCAATATAATGTGTAACTCGATTAATTAACATGTCAATTGACACAGCTCAAAGATCAACTAATTCTTAATTCGATCGGATCACTCACTCGATTGACTTATAATAAAAAATTCACATGTAACCAATCAACCTAACCTTGCCCCAACCCAAGCCTTCTATTTGAGACATTTCTCTAATTTACCACTCTTTTAGTCTTTACATATATGAATGACTAATTTTGAGTATGCTATTTTTTTGGCCAAGCAGGATGCAAGAGAAGGTTCTCCAAACCGAGAAGTACGCACTACAAAAAAAAGGGCCTATACCAAGGATTTTATTGGCCTGTAGCAGGGGTTTTAACCCCTGCTATAAATTGTAGCAAGGGTTTGTACAACCCCTGGATCAACCCTCACCTATGCTGCCCCTGCTATTGGTAGCAAGGGTTTTGAGAAACCCACGGTGAAAGTACTATCCAAGGGTTTTAGCAAGGGTTAAAACCGCATCTATTCTTACCAAGGGGTAGAACCCCTGCTACATGGCAATTTAAAATCCAACAATGATATGTTCCTACCAAGGGTTCTAACCCCTGCTACATGCGCTGGTAAATTAGTGACCGTTAGAACCCTTGCTAGTGAATGTTATAGTTTCAATTGAATTACATTTATTCCAAGGGTTTAAACCCTTGCTTGATTGGTGGCTAATCTTTTGTGATGAAATCAGACCGGTCCCTAAAGAGAAATGCAGAGTTGTCACTAAAAAAAATTCAAAGCTGTCGCTAAAAAGAAATTCAAAAATGGTGGTTATAACTTGGTTGCAAATACTATAGTCACTATAAACAAACTCAGAACCTAATATTCAATAGTGACCAAATTCATACCATACAACACCATCAATGTTCCAAAATCCGTATCATGATTCATGATCCACAATATGATTCAGTTACCTTCAACATTCAAAGGCAATCCAAAGAAACATAACAGCCTACAAGAATATTACTCAAAAGAACCTACTACATGATAAACTCATGATTTAACATCCTTCATCTAAGAGCATCACGACATCAAGAAGCTCGAGAACCCAAAGATGGGGCAGTACTGGCATCCTGACATAAAGGAAAAGAATTATCAACATTTACCACAAACAAAATTGCTATAAGAAATTAAGAGACGAAAGCTGCAAAAAAGCAGAGGCAACACTTGAAAATGATGATATCAACAAGCTAGCACAACTATTGTTATTAACAAGCAGAGGCAACAATGGCTAGCAAAACATAAAAGCTATCATCTCATATCTGCCTACATGCAACAGCTAATGGTAGAAAGAGCAATTCACTGGTGTTTGATGTGATGGTGATCTATACTTAGCCTCAATAAGTTCTCCTCGCCCTTTTCTCCTTTACTACCCCATAACGAAAGTACCTCTATGTGTAACAGTGTAAGGCAACAAGCTACCATAACTAAACTAGAATTTGCATTGACAACAAAAGGCAGCATTACTGAATATATTCATCCCCTCACCAAACTGAAGTTTGCAGAACTAAACTCACCTGTCCTAGACCTCAAAACAAACTTCTGATTTGAAGAGTCAACTTACCAGGAGAGAATAGTGCCATTTCTTGTAGTGGTAGTTCATCCACCGAAGAGGGACGAATGTGAAATAGAACAAACTATAGACGTACGAAATATCTTGCGGCCCTGAACACATTAACAAAGGAAGCAAAACAATAAACAATGAAAACCCTTAAATAGAAAACTTCGTTATTAAGTAAGTTCATTTCCATGGCTGCCCAAAATGGTGATAACTCACTTGCACCCAAGAGATAGCAAAACACTCCAAACCCAAAGACGCCAAGAAGCGTTTAGCGATCTTGACGGACCTTATTGATGAACCTTCGTGCTCCTATGCTTGTTTAGCGATCTTCACCGCCTGTTTAGCGATCTTCACCTTGGTTCGGGTAGCCTGCTTCGACAGAACCTGTGTTAGGTTTAGAGACTCAAATTGCACTATGGGATTCTCCTCACCCTTTTCTCTTTTACAACCCTATTACTAAACTACCTCAAACAAGAGAGAAGGAGGGGAGAGAAATTACCGGATTGTTTTCAGCATCTTCCATCCAATTTTGCCCAGGAAATTGCTTACTGATGAACCTTGCCATGACCTCCATTTTTTTCTTCACCTCACTTAACTCTCCTTTCAAAGTTGGTACATCTTCACTCGAATGACTACATGAACATGAGCTTGATCCAAATGCAGCCCCACGCGAGTAAACTCCAAAATATGCCCTCTGAGTTGGCCCTAACCCCATGCATCGAAGCCTCCCAGGATGCTCTGGACCTGCTAGCTTCTGGAAAACCTCCTCACTAGGTCCCTCCATTTCATTTGCTTTATCCTGCAGCAAAATCACATGTTAGATAAATACCAAACAACACCAGCAACACTACTAATCTACTAAAGCAAACTATGTCTCTCATTTCACATATGAGTAGGAGCTACCATAGGAATTACCATGAACTCCTTAGCATGATCATTGATGTATGTCCCATCCTTTCTCTTATGGTTAGCTTCGAAAACTTCAAGCCTAGTAGGAGTTCTGCCTAATTTTTCCTTCTGCAATCATTGTAACATATTAGAATTTAGATTAGAACAAAATTTGATCATATTATTTATAAGAATGTACATAAAGCAAAACAGAAACAAATAAAGTTTTACCAGTCGCTTTCTCGTCCTTGCAATGCTCCTCCTTCCTCCTGTGTGAAAAACATTCTTCTTCTATGCATTAGCACGGTTTACTGCACTTCTTTTCTGCACAAATAAGATTTTTACTATTATATATCTACTCTAACTCTGAACTAGCAACATAACTGAACTGGCAACATCACTAGCAAAAGGACAAGACATAGGAATAAAAGAAGAACAACCCTACAGAAAAATTGCAGCAGCAGAATCATAGGAATAAAAGAAGAACAACCCTGCAGAAAAATTGCAGCAGCAAAATAATAGAACAAATGCACCAGAACTGGTACTTTTAGTCACCCCAATTCATGGAAGCATACACAAACAACATGGGTTCGAATTTCAACAGAATGTAGTACATGAGAACAAGACAGAGACATAATCCTCAGTCCATAGGCAGAAAATTAATAAGAATAATCTAAAGACATAACTGAACTAAATAATTAGACAGCATTTAGCAAATAATAATTGCCCTTTAGATAAAGCAAAGATGCCCTCGCCACAGCCCACAGGCATAATCATCATTGTATCATCGTCTCACCCGACACTGTAGGACGCGACAACGAAGATACGAAAACCTTATCCCAAAGTGCAGCACGTACAAACGCAGCATGAACAACAAAGAGTAAGTTCTGCAACTTTTTCAAAGGATAAAGAGAATGGTATTGTTACTGATAACTACTGTTCAAGCTATTAATCCATACCAGAGCAAACATTATGCCCATCCCAACTTAAACAACACCCTAGACCAAACCAAACACCAAAAGATTGCAAAGTGGAACACTAATGTTAAAGTAAATAGTTTACCACAACTATCCGCAAATACTGTTAAGACAAAAGTAAGACAGAAGGAAAAAGGAAATTGAGGGAATAAGAGTCTCCCCTGGCATTTTGCTTAATTATTACTTCTCTTTCGTTACTGAAGAAGCAAACCATCCAAATCAGAAAGATCCACAAATCACCACCCCCCCCAAATTACCTTAAGCTAATCCAATTCGGCTTATTACACAAATTCCAAAACCCTAGAATAACTTTCCAAGCTAAGTAATAAATACTACAGAATCATGCCTTGCTAAATTCTGGGTTCAATTAACGAGCGACCATCCCAAAATAATGAGTCAGTCCCCAGAATGGAAACAGAACAAGGCGATGAGCAAACTCTGTTCGTAGTCGTAGAGAATGAACTGAAGCGTAAAGTTTAAGCAAACCTGGAAGAGGTGATGACGAGACGAGGAGGAGCTGATGGCGGCGACTAGATTAGGAGGCAGCTATCCCAATTTGGGGAGAAGAAAGAGGCAACGTCGGCGACGATATACGGAGCTGGCGGCGGAGCAGGATCGAGGGCGAGAGAGGTCTTGGGGGTTTAGGGGCTGGCTGGGGTTGTGACAAATCGATAAGGAAAACAGAGCAAACAGTACAGTTCACTCACGAATAGAAAAGGCAGAGGAATGGACTTACTATAGAACTTCAACTACAGCTGTATAAAACCCTAACTCCAGTCTCCAAAAAGCTAGCATACACAACCAAACTACTGAAAATGCATCAGCAACAGACTCACAAATATAATAGATAAACGGCTGTGCTGCTTCAGATTCAACAAGCCACCATATCAAAATACAGATGAGCGAAACCAGCCACAAAGCTAAAACACAGGGCCATTGCATGCGACAACAAAAATGAAACCTAAAACCTATCTATATTCATGAAAAGCGCGAGAGATAACCTTATAGCCAGAACGGACAAAAACGAGGGGATGGAAGAGATCGGGTGCCGCACGGAGTGTAGAGAGGTCGGAGAGAACGAGACGTCCGAGAGATCTGGCGCCGCGCGAAGAGAACGAGACATCGGGGAGATCTGGTGCCGCGCGGAGAGAACGAGATGTCGGAGAGATCGGCGCCAGAGAACGAGATGTCGGAGACTAGCCCCACGTGGAGAAAACGAGATGCCGGAGAGATCGGCGCCGCGCGGTGAATCGCAGCTCGGAGGAACGAGACCAGTGAATCCTCGAATGTATTTTGATTTTGAACCGCTGCTCGGAGTGAACGAGAGACTGAAGAATCGCTTGGGGTGAGGGAGGGATCGGAGAACTCGAAATTTTTTTTGAATTCGTTTACTGATTTACTCGAAGGAGTGATGTGGCGGGGGTGGGCGGATCTCAGTGACAATACTGAGCTTGAAATAGAGAAGCGGAGTGATTGGAATAAGTTTTCCAGTTTGGTTATTGAAACAGAGTTGGGCGGTAGCAAGGGTTTCTAAACCCTCGGTGTAAACCGTCATTAGAATATGTTCCGAAAATTTTAGCAGGGGTTTGTTAAACACTTGCTACATAACCCTTGGTATAGGGACTTTTTGTTGTAGTGACGGCACCCTGAAGCCGGGAACAGAGGAGCAACAGCAACCAAAAGTCCAAAACCAATCAAAACCAACACTAAAATTAATTTTGGGTATAAAAAAAATGTGCACTATTGTTACTAAGTTGTAATTTAATTAAATTTGAAGTATCAAAATGTAATATATAATATAGTTTAGGCAACAATAACTTCACTTCAGCTTTATATAAATAATTGATAATATGGGCATGAATGGGTGAGTACCATACTTTACTTCCAAGTATTATGACTCGAGAAGAAGAAGATATCTATGATGAATACGACTGAGCTGAGGAGGTCCTCTTCCCTCTCAAGTCCAAAGCTGGCTCAGCAAACCACACACACCAATTAATAACAAAAAAAAAAAAAAAATTTGAGAAGAGAGAAGAATGCTATGTAGCTAGCTGCAGCAGATGATATAGCCTAATGCAGACAGCAGCGGCAGCAGCAGGAGGAGGGAAAAAGAGAAGGAAGGCTGGAGATGATGGCAGGAAACCTAGGTAGGTAGCTCCCCTATTATAAACGTAGCTGTCTGTTTGAACAATGAACATATAAAGAAAAAACAAATAATCATGTGTACAAAAATATGCCACTTCGCCATTAATACTTGTTTATTTATGAATAATATATATATATATATACATCTCTCTCTCTCTCTCAGCTTGAACAGATAGCCAAGGCAAGCCAGGGTGTGTTTCCAAAATCCAAACTCACTTTTTTCCAGAAACCCTCCCACCCGCCCCCTTTTTATTAATTTAATTTTCACTTTAAAAGCGCTTTTCAAAGTGTTTATCTACAACTGCTACAAACCCTTTTTTTTTTTTTGTCCCTTTGTGACCCATATCATCTTCATCAGAGCCTTTGGCCTCTCTTCTTTTTTTGCCCCCTTCGCTCCCTCCCTCTTCTTCTTCTTCATACGTTACGTTTTTATTTATTTATTTGGGGCGGTCCATTCCATTCTTTGATTGCTCCGGCGTATTAAAAATTGCATTTTGAAATGTCTTCTTCTTCTCCTCCTCTTCTTCCGCCTCTTCCCTCTTCATCGTCATCTTCCAGCCAGGGCAACGACGGTGGTTTAGACGAATACGAAGGGCCGTCGAGGTCCCGGCCACGTGGCGCCGTGAATGAAGTGTGGCCGGAGCCCTTCTTGGAAGCACTCGCTACCCACGTGGCCACGGACGCCGCTCTCTTTGCCGGACGCCTCGCCGCCGCTCAGGCCCTCGCTAATGTCTTTCAGGTGCGATTTTTGTATTGTTCCCCCCCCCCCCCCCCCCCCAGTATTACAGTTGCGGTTTCGTCTCAATGGTAATTAATTAATTAATTAATTAATTAATACTCTTGGTCTTGGAAGACACAACATCTGATATATTAAAATCTCGTTGTTATTTAGAGAAAATTATTATTCAATCTAGCCTTTCACTTATTAGGCAAGTGTATGGAGTATTAGGTGTTAGTTTAAGCACTCTAGTAAATTACGATTACTCACTTGATATTTATGTATTATTATGATGATCTTGAGATACGTGATTTACGGTTGGGGTGTTGTTAGTGTTGGTGAGATGGGGAAAAGTATATTATTATTATTAATTAATTAATTAATGTATAGTGGGCATGGGTGGTGGAGGAGCTGGCTTGAAAAGAGTGAAAGGGAAATGGACAAAATCTTGTTGGTCCAAGTCAAACTGAAACTCTCTTGGTAACCTAGATTCTAAGATTCCCTCTTCTCGTGTTTTTTGTTTTTGTTTGTTTCATTTTAATTATTATTTATTTTCTCACATACTAGAGTGGAAGAATTGAAATAGCATAGATTTTGTGTTGGGTCCATTTTTGATTTTCACTTTGCTATAATTAAGGAAATCCCCTTGACCTAGAATTGGTGTCACTTTCAGATGATGTAGTTTTCAGGCAGTTGTAATGTTGGGGGCCAAGTTTAAGCTTTTAACTGCTTTGGATATGTCTATTCTTGGACCATTTTGTACATGGATCTTGGTTTGGGTTTGGGGGGGAATGCTTCTTCTTCTAATGCTCTTTAAAGATAGGATTGAATGGTCTCAGTGGGTTTTAAGATCTACTGTTGCATTGAAAAATTAAAGAAACTATATATATATATATATATGATCTAGTTAGTGTGACATTATACTAATTTTACCTGCATCCAATAAATTTTGCTTATTTAGATAATAAATTAACATGAGTTAGAAACTTTAAACAATATAATATGCTAATATTAGTTATATTTATTTTGAGGGTACGGTTTAATAATTCCCTCTCTAATTAATCTCACTAATCAAGTAGGTCAACCCTAGCCTCTCCTAATTGCTAGTACATATGCTTTTTTCTCCAACAGGAATAAACTCTCTAGAATTGATCCCATCTTTCCAACTACTTAAATAATAATGCTTCATAATCTAAAACAACATGATTAGTAGGAAATCCTTTTACTTCACTTCCAAGACTACACCAACCCAATAAATATATTTGTTCACTCATATGATAATGTTAAAAAAATGAATATATATATATATTTTTCTATTACAGGGCAATACATCCAAGATGCATTCTAGCCCCATAAATATAATATAATATGTGATTTTTTAGACAAAGGCGCATGTGCAATGTGGAGAAAAAAGTTGTTATGGAGAGCAATGCTTGTATGTAGTGTAGAAGCAGAGATGTCACTTGTCATTTCAGAAGTTGTTTTCCATTTCTTTTCAGTTATCTTCTTTTTTCCCCCTTTTATCTTTGTCTATACACGAATGAGTCAATGGACCTATAGCAGTATAGCTTACCCAAATAAAACAATTAATAATAATAATAATTCAATAATACTTATAATTCAATAATGACTGCAACAAAACACTATACATATACATTTGCTAGTGGCCAAAATACAAACCCACACTGACTCAATTAAGGGCCTAAGTGTTAGAAAGTGGTATAAATCCACCATAATTTTCTTCCAACGACTCGAGTTATTGGGAGCAATTGGTTTATGATATGGTATCAGAGCCTGGTTTGGCCAAGTAGTAGTGTGTTTGAATCTCCACGATCCCCAATATTAACAGTTGATTAAAGCACAAGGTATGGTGAGTCTGTGCAAACTTCAAGATCATGGTTGGCTTTCGTTTGAGGGGACGTGTCAGAGAGTGGTATAGATCTAGCATAACCTCCTTCTTTCAACAACTCGAGTTATTGGGAGCAACTGGTTTATGACACTAAGTTACCTACGTACTCCGCTTAATTCGTTTTGCTTAAATTTTCTAAGACGGTTCTTGCTCGATCAACACTAGTTTGGAGTTTGAAGTTGGGTGCAGCATGAGCATGGTTTTTCTCTTTTGTTTTTTGTTTTTTTGTTGATAATGGGGAGCATGGAGTTGGACTTATACCTTTTTTGGTGGTACTCTCGGCAAGGCGGAAGGGTTCTCTTCTCTTCCTCGGATGAAAAGGATGCGTACTGTAGGTTGTATGGTTAACAATAACAGCCAATGTTGTCATCAGGAACTGTGGTCCAACTGTAGCTTCTTTTGGAGGTGGTAGAGTAATTAGGTCATTTGACGAATATGGCAAAATCGAGGGGTATGCTATGCAAACGCAAATGCTATTGCAATTGCTGTTGCTATTGCAACTGGGGGAGGGAGCTTTTCCAGGGGTACGAGAAAGAAAGAAAGTAACAATATTAGGAAAGTACAGTTATGATGACTGAAAAGAGAAACTAGTTAAGCTAGTACCTTCAGTAAATAAAACAAGAGGAGGGACTGGGGGAGAAGTAACTACTAACCAGCAGGTTGGGTTTTGTCCAAAGACAACAGAAGAGAAGAGAAGAGAGGAGAGATTCGATTCTGCTGATGAAACAAGTCAACAAGAATACAATACAACACACTTTTTCCCCCAACACCCCTTTCTTGGAAATGAAAGACAAGAGGAAGAGAAAAAAAGAGAGACTATTACAAAATTAAAGTAGGCAACTTTTTTCTTCTTCTTTGCGGTTGCACGCTTGAAGAAAGATACAATTAGAAGCCCGCCTGCCTGCCTGCCGACCTATCTCTTTTCATGCTCCCCTTTCTGTCTGATAAGCCACAATAGTAAATTGACTGGAATTGAACTACCAACTTGAAGTATTTATCAATTAGTTTAGTTTTGTACATCTGGTTGGTTTACTGTTTCTACCGAAAAGAGTAAATTTCTAGATACGGTTTTCACATTTCTCTTGTTTTCACCCCAATCTGTCCCCCCTTCTTTCTCTACGTTATTATGTTATATAGTATACAACAGTTTTCTTCCTGTCTACCAGATTTTTGGAGAATAGTCTAGTATGATTGCTCTTGTCATACGATCTGGGTTCATTAAATTTGTCAGCTTCCCCGCCCCCTCTCTCTAATATGCATACTACTAGTGAAATAACTATTATTAATTTCTAGGTCATTTGCACATTCTCTCCTTTACTTTGTATAGATTTCTTTTTCCAAAATAATATATTTTTTTGGGTTAATTAGTTGCAGTTTTTCCTTTATGTAGAAACTAAACAGAGTAGGCATTTCATATCCAGCTATCATAGGGGGAGGCAGGGGTGTTTGCCCCTATCCCGGGACAGGGATAACTTTTAGGGAGGGGAAAAAATAACCTCACATATATTTGTACAGATTGAATTAAACATTTACAAGTAATATAAGGATATTTTAATATTACAACATAATTCATTACTTGTTCATTAATTCATTAAAAATAATTAAATTATTGGTTTCATTCATGACACTATTATTTCACAACAGCTTGTTAGGTATTATCACGATATTATGATGTAAACAATGAATGTATTTTACATTTCTTTTATAATATGAAAACTCGTCCTGGTTACTTATGAAACAATAATTGCATTAGTTAGTTTTTTTTTCTCTGTAAATGAATTATTTAGATATTATTAATTTTAATTATATTTATAAAATATTATATATATATTATGAATAAAGGACAATGGTAATTTGAAATCCTCCTTCACCACTGCGGCAATTATACTAATACTATACTGTTCTCTGCATGTACTCTGAGTTTCATTTCCTCCATCTTTTTCTTCCTACCCCATTTATTTAATATGAAACAAACAAACCTTCCATGGTTCCACTACTACACACACTCCACATATCTCATTGTCAAAGTACAGTAAAAAATTTCCTTCCTTCCGCTCGGCCGCTACGTTGCATGCATGGACAAATTATTATTATTATTATTAATTCCTATTTCTCCGTTTTTTTGTTGGTTCCTTTTTCCCTCCCAGGTGTGCTCCACGTGGCAAGCAATTTCCCACTCCGACCTCCTCTGGCAGCGACTCACCCACCGGATATGGCACCGCCGCCACCTCCTACACCGCACCTGGCGGCAAGAATACATGTACCGCCACCGAACCGCCCGAAACTTCCGGATCCGCCGATCCGTTCACTTCAACCTCCGGTTCGACGTGGAAGACCCCACCGACCCGAACGCCCTCTCCTGCCGCTGCCTGGCCATCTCCGACCACCACCTCGCCGCCGGCTTCGCGGACGGAGCCGTCCGGGTCTTCTCGCTCCGGACCCGGCTCCACTCCCGGACCTTCCGCCCGCTGTACCGCGACCGCCTGGGGCCCTTCTCCCGAGCGGTTTCGGGCATCGTCCTGTCCGGGTCCGCCCGGCTGGTGTTCGCCACGCTGGACGGAGACATCCACGTGGCGAGCCTGAACAACAACAACAACAACGGGCCGCGGAGGGCGCGCGTGGGCGACGTGCTGAACGACGGGGCGCTGGTGGACTTCGCCGGGTGCGGGCAGTGGTGGGTGGGGCTGTACGCGGGCGTCCCCGGGCGGGCATTCCACATATGGAACGGGCAGAGCGAGGAGCTGACCTTCGTGGGCGGGTCGCTGACCGACGCGCAGGCCGTGGCCGGGTGGCGCACGCTGACCGAGTCGACCGAGGCGGTGGGGCGGGTGAGGGTGAGCCGTGGGGGCGAGTCGGCGGTGGCGTGCACAGGGTCGCGGGTGATGGTGCTGGACCTGCGGAACCAAGGGGTGATTTTGGGGGAGGAGGAGTACGGGAGCGGGGTGGTGGTGGGGTGCACGGAGGTGTGGCGGGAGGCGTACCTTAGCGTGGACGGGAGTGGGGTGGCTAGCGTGCGCAGGATGGAGGAGATCGTGTGCGGGTTCGGAGTGGGAGGGGCGGCGATGATGGGTTGCCTGAACGGAGGGTGCGCGGTGATTTGCGGCGGCGGGGTGGTGAGGGTGTGGGGCATTGAGAGGAGGGAAGGGGAGTATCTCTATAGGTTCGGGGAGAGGGTTCAAGGGGAGATCAAGGCGATGGTGGCGGACGACAGGCACGTCGCGCTGGCTGCCGGAGACGGCGCCGGGATACATTTGTGGGATTTTGGCGCGGCGGAGGAGGAGTAAGAGGTAATTAAGAAAAGAGTTTAATACTAATTTAATATATAATAATAATATATTATGGGGACGGACCATTTTCACTAGCTAGGGATTGGAATTGGATTGGAAGAATCAGAGGCGTGTGAAGGTTGAAATTACAAGGGAGGGCGTGTGACGAGACGAGAGAGACGACGTGATGCGCTTTTTTGGGTGGAAATTGGCTAATAATTTTTAGGGTTCTACTCTACATGATTGGAAATTGGGTTTTTTTTCTTTCTTTTCGGGGATCAGCAATTCAATTCAAGAGGGTATTTTTAATTACTGATTGCTGTTGTACACTTGTAATTAATTTCTCTTCTTCCGCTTGGTTCAGTTGGTTTCGACTTTCGAGGAAGTTGAGTCTCACCCTCAAACCAATGCTATTGATTTTTGGGGAAGGGGGTCAATTTATTTTTTTTGATAGATGCACTACCTATCTTGTTTGACCTTTTTCTATGTCATCAGCTGGAGAAGGAGAAGAAGAACAACTAGGCTACGCTTCTTGACATCTTGCTTTGATTTGACGAGCTAGTCATCGTCATGTTCATTGCCACCATCTCAAATTCAAATAGTAGGGAACGGCTACGGTGCTAATTGTACAATAGTTAGCACCGTCCTAACCAAGAGAAAAACTACTCCTAGTTTGAATTAGTAGTGATTTAGCTTAGATGTTGTATTGATTTTATAATAATCCGTAGTGATTTCGATATTTTTAGTAGCGTTTTTTGCTAGTTATTACGATGCTAACCCCTATAAGGATTAGCACCTAATCCCATCCCCAAATGGTATCCCCAAGAATGGAAATTTTAAATTAGTATTTGTTTCACTACTGCTAAAATAGCAACTTTGGTTACCGGCTTACTGTATTTTGTTTCACCGTTCTCATATAAACCATTTTAGCTGCATGATAATCACTCTAATTAAGTCACTATCTCAATTTTGGTCACTGATCGTCAACTTTCGTCAAACTCCAATTATGCCATCAATGGTTTCTCTCTCAAGCGCATCAATGGAAGGTAACAACTGGAGATTTGTCGATGGATGGCAATTACCTAAGGGAGGTGCAGGAGATACTCGGAACCTCCGTTAAGGTGACGCTTCCCGTGGTTCTCATCGGCGGGAGGTGCATCGTCGGGCTGGACGAGATCAGAGAGCTCCACGAGAGCGGGGAGTTGTAGTCGTTCATCGCCGGGCTGTTTCCGCCGACGGCCGTCGCGGCATCGAACGAGTGCGATCTGTGCGGAGGGCTGAGATTCGTCCTTGCGAGGAGCGCAGCGGCAGCCACAAGATCTACTCGGAGAAGCACGGGTTCCGAAGCTGCACCGCGTGCAACGTCAACGGTTTGATCCGCTGCCCGGACTGCTACAAGCCTGCCCGCCGCCGCATGTCCATCGCGTAGCGCCGACGATGATCACTCGGCCGTCCGGTAAAATCTGGTTCGACGCGGGGAGACTGACAGTCTCTTGTGAATGCGTCGGTTACAATCACCAACGAGGGCAGTTACGCTTCAGATAAGTACTCCCTTATCATTTATTTTATTATTATTATTATTAATTCCGTTCCCTTAATAATTATCCTTCTTACTTTATTTGTTTTTAATTATTGTTTCCATCATTTTTCATATTTCTCGTACGTATCTATTGCCTTCTTTTTATTATTATATACTTGCAAATTGGTAGGTCCCCGAAATTTAGCTTGTTTCCTTTTATTAAAAAAAATGAAAGAAAGAAAGAAAGAAGGTTTAGGTTTGTAATGGGTGGTGTCGGTTATCTAGGGTTTCCCGACGACCTGGTTCTCTATTTCAAAGGCGAATTGCTGCCTTGTGTCTATGTTCACTTGTTGGCTCTTTGGCCTGGATTGTCCTAGTAGGGGCCTTTGTTTGCTCATTTTGCAGGTGAAGATTCAATTGCACAGTAGTCGATCGGTGATGGCTGTCTTGTTCACTAGGTGGCATTTTGATGAGATTTGATGGAGCACTTAGAAATGGCGCCCCTGATGTTGAAGGAACCCTTTGAACACTATTAATGTTTAGTTTGATGGTGTGGTCAAGCATAGTTACGAAGGTAGTATTGGCTTTGTGGGTTTTCAATCGTCAGGTAATATTCTCTTTGCTTTCGGAAAGTGTTATGATGGATTACACGATTCATTTGTTATACTGGAGGTCATAGAGTGGTGCCTGACATATTCCTTTGTCTCTGTCAAATTTCATGGGGATTCACAACAATTGATACGACGGGATGGTGGGAGGCGATTTGGCGCATGATCGGGGTGGAGCTCTACTGGAGGATGCTCGGAGCTTAGTTTCTCACTTCAGCTGATTTCTTAGTGCTTTGTTTTTCGTCGACTTTATAGGGCTGCCCATCATGTGGCACTAAAGGCCCTCTCATCGGGAGTTCGATTATTGGTCGACTCACGCGCTTTTCTTTCTTTCTCCTTATGACTATCTTTTCAACACTGACTTTGAAAAAAAAAAAAAAAAGTAACAACCCTAAAAATGAAAACCCGGCCCATACTATCGAAAAAGCCCGCCATAACAACCCATCAAATGACCCAAACTTGCAACCCAAACAAACCAATTGAACCAACCGACATAAAAAATACTCGTTCAATTTAAAATAAAACTAAAAAAGAAGAAAAAAATATTGGCTATTTGCATATTCGTCCTTTCTTTTGTCGAGTTCTTTCCTCATTTGTTCCTCACAATCAAAGTAACTCCAAATTGAAAAGAAAAAAGCCCCAATGACAGAAAAGACTAAACAAGAAGCTACATTTGATCCATTGTAGAACATGAGTCATATTGTCCCATAGATAACACTGCATGGAAAATGGGTTGTAGAAACAATTATATTTGTATCTACAAGGCGTTTATTTGTCTATGTATCCCTTTAGAAACATATAACACATGTCTTTCAAATAGTGCTGTCACTAGAGATTTATGAAGGCACATTATAAATGCTGATATTATTTTGTCATGGTATTTCATTTTAAGACATAAACATTTGTCTCTAAAATGTTTTGTGCGGCATATACTTTTTTTGGTTACTAAAATTAGCGTTTGAGATATGAGTCTTTGAAACATAATTTGGTTACTAAATTAATGTTATTTCTAGAAACAAATAGTTTTGTTTGTGATAGGGTCATTGTGGAACTCATGGCACTTAGGGACGCTATTAGTTACTATTTATCGCATTCACTTACTAACGTTCATTTTGTGGTGATGTGCAAGTTATCATCTGGATGGTCCATATAAAGGATTCGTTTCACGTTTCGAGGTGAACCAGCGTAATTCGTTTCATTTCGCGCTGCGTAGGTATGGCAAGGCTACCCATATCGTGACAAAAAAGGCCCTCTTATCATTGGATTGATTTTAGTAGACCAACATCCCTGTCTTTTTTTTTATTTGATTACTTTTAAACTTTTTTTTTTGTATATATTGTATCTTACTGTCCTTTTTGGGATATCTACAACAAAAATAAAAAATAAATCAATTACGATATCAATTTAAATAAGCGATCATATACCAATGCACAAATCCTAGCTGCAACATAGTGAATAAAGTTGGGACATCTATGAAAAATTTAGGAGATCATAATTGTTACAACCAAAGTAATCGATCTAATGAACAAGACAGTAACGAAAGATCTAAACATGCCAATCCAGATTGCTAATCCTAAGCCCTAACGAAAAACAAGTTTAATTCAAGAGCCTTGGTTACAACCTTGATTCCTTTGGAGACGACGCTTTTGGGGAGGCTAACAAAAAAAAAAAAAAAATATTTCTTTGCCTTAACTTCCTTGAAGACGTCGCATATGAAGGAGTTATTGATCCCTCATGGCCTGGTTGGATCCCATAGATTTTGATGTTTTGAGGACTTGCTCAATACTTTTAAGGTGTAGATGTTCTTCCCTAATTTCCCAATTCTTCTTCTTCTCCTCTGACATTTGCTTAGGCTTCCATTTGGGAGCCTCTTCCCATCATTTGGCTAATTCTCTGCAGGAGTCTTGTCCGTCACACTCTTCTTCGCGTCTCACAACTTGTCCCTGGTAGATTACATCTCATCAAACTTCTTCTATGCGTGGTACGTGAACATCTTAAAATGAAGTTCACGGTTGTGGATGATTTATCTTTCGATTCCAAACAAGATAAAGGGGGGATGAAGCTTTGATGACACGTGAAAAGTACTCTCTTAGACTCCCATATTATGGTTGAAACTTCATAATTTTCATACATTTATCTTCATAATATCTTGGAATGACAAGTTTAGTCATCCTCCAATCTAGTAATTTGAATATTAATTTGAGGTAGCTAGAGTATAGATAACGAATATCGATTTTCCACCCATGTAATTTGAATCCTAATTTGAGGTTGCTAGAGTATATATAACGATGGCCCTGTCAGCAATACACCGACCCTCCAACCGAAACTTTTAATCAATCCATAACTTAAAAAAAATTGTTGACATAATAAGACCCAAATACAATTAGAAAACAGTGCAGATGCAAACCATCATAAATTCCATAACAATTACAAAGAATCTAAATATGTGTATTGGACTATTGGTGAAGCATCCATAAAGACAAAATTATATATATGCAAATAAAATGGCACGTCCATAATAACACACGAAGTCCTTAACATCACAAAAATAAATATTAAAGAACCCAATTCTGTATTCATTATCTTCCAAATTTACATAGTTCTTCCTCTTGGCACTCTTATTTGGAGTTGCAGCTCACTTGTCATGGTTATCTTGGGCAATTTTAGTGTTATTGGCAGCATTCATGACACCATCTTCACGTTAACCGCTAATAAAATTTTCCATATATGGAGATAAGGAGTTTCCCGCATGTGGATTCAGAATCGGTTCCTGGAAATTTGGAGAAAAAGTCATAGTATTAAATCTTTCAATGTACTACAGTTCGTTGTAGGCATTAGCAAGACAAAAGTCATTTATGTAAACAGATGTTTGTAAAATATGACAACTATATAAATGTCAGAACATGAAATATCGTAAGGGCATGTCCTTGTCCACTTCAGCAATATCTACATTTCAGCAAGTTTGATGCATCTTTCACGTTAGATAAGGGAACAAAGCAGAATTCTACCAGTTCATGGTTTGACATGAATTGTTTTCACTTAGATTCCAAAATGAGGGTAAGTCGTACAAACAATTCCCTAACATAGAGCTTTAGGGGAAGGGGTGTTTACATGCTTGAAGAAGAAGCGTTTTGTGAAGAAATGGTTTCGTAATCAAACATACATATATACACAGCAACATAACACAACAACATTATAGAGAAAGACAACATACACGTTCAAACTTTCACACACAAACCTCAAAGGAACCCGAACTATGCACTACGGGAAAAATGACCTCCTGCAACACTCGGATTGCAACACTATTAGAAAGTGTTGTGATAAATATGTAATGGCAACACTTTTTGCTAGGGTTGCGTATTAGATAGTTTACGCAACCCAAATCTATTATTTGCAAAAATTTGTTGTCTTTGTCTACTATACGCAACGCTTATATAAGAAAAGGTTTTTATGTTGCCAATTTGAATATTTTAGGCAACACTTTAACAAATTATGTTGCAAAATGTTAGCTTTTGCATTTTTATGGATAGCTTTACAACATTATTTTTTTTGTATGCCAACCAATCCTTTTTGTTGACGAATATGTTTCCATACGGTTTTGCTTTTGGG